GGCAAACGCTGCAGTGAGCTGAGATTGCTGCACTCCAGCCTGGGCGACAAAGCGAGACTCCGACTGAAAAAATAATAGTAATAATAATAATAAATTAAATAATTGATTATTTAAATGGAAATCTGTTCTGTTTTCATGCCTTGGTATTTCATACTGGTATATTGTTCTATTATAACTTTGAAAAGAGCCGATGGAGTCGGTCAAATTGTATGTATACATTTATTTATGCAACAAAAAAATTATGCTTATGTGCCAGGTACCGTTCTAGACCCAGGAGAAAGCACGGTGAACAAAACAAAGTCATTGTGTTCATGGTGATTTCACCCTGGTGGGAAGTGAGTAAGCAAATATATGATCAATATCAGGAATTGCTAAATGATAAGAAGAAAAATAAAGCAGATTAAGAGGATAGAGAGTGACCAGAATGCCATTTTATTTGAGTGGGCTGGGAAGGAGTCTCTGGGGAGATAAAAGTTTTCATAGTTTTCCTTCTTTTGTCTCTTGAGTCATTTCACCTAATGAATGCAGATGCAAAAGAATGTTTGTATCTGTTGGTATCACTCATGTATTCATTGAGAGCTATGGTGAGGTCCTACTACTTATTCTTTACTACTTAGGAAGATTAACACCTGAATTCTTCTCTTCATTCTTTTATCACTCTTCCATATACTTAAGTGCCTAAGCACCTTCATTCATCCATCCCTTATATAATTTTTTTTCTTGAGACAAAATCTGGCTCTGTCGCCCAGGCTGGAGTGCAGTGACGTAATCTTGGCTCGCTGCCACCTCTGCCTCCCAGGTTCAAGCGATTCTTCTGCCTCAGCCTCCTGAGTAGCTAGGACTACAGACACATGCCACCACACCTGGCTAATTGTTTTGTATTTTTAGTAGAGATGGGGTTTTGCCATGTTGGCCAGGCAGGACCCGAACCCCTGACCTCAGGTGATCTGCCCACCTCAGCCTCCCGAAGTGCTGGAATTACAAGCGTGAGCCACCATGCCTGGCCATCCGTTCCTTATCATTCATCCAAAAATCATGATTTGGTATCTGTTCTAGTTTTCCAAAATCTTGTGATATGATTTATTTGATTAAAAAATACATTGTGCAGTTAAGTGACTTCCAGTGTTTAATTATAAAGTGGAATTGCTTCTGGAGAGAGCTGTTTTTCCCAAGTGTTTTGGTGAACTCACAGCCACTGAAATTTGATGTCTTGGGTCAGATTGGGTCTTACAGTGATCCCAGCCTTAATGCCTAAAAGCCCTAAATAAAATTATACACTTCTCAAGTGTTCTATAGCGTTGCACAAGTCTGAAATAGATGACTGGCACTCCCCTACACCTCATCGTTGGCTAACTGACTTGTCCCATAAATAGCTCAGTGTTATGTGATCAGACAACTACAACTAACAGAAGAGATTTTTGCTTCCTAACACACTTGTGCAGTCTCTGGTAGTAAACAAAATCCAAGTCCAAGTCACCAGCCCCTAACTGTAACCTAGTTCTTAGGAGAGTTGTGCAAATCAGTAGCCAAATCATGTGGGATGGAATTCAAGATAACCCTGCCTTATACTAAACTCTACATTCTGGAAAATAGTGTTAGAGCAAGATTCATTTTCAGTCCTTATAGTTACTTGAAGTCCCTTCCCAGTCTACCCAAATGTTTCTGCCCTAATCTGGTCAAACCCAAAGAGTGTCTGCCAAATGAGTTAAAAATTGTCAGGTGAGTCTGAGGGGGCATCATGGTAGTTTTATAAAGCCTTTTTTTTTTTTTTTTTTTAAATCAAGAGCATGTTAAAAAAAGAAACTACTGGCTGGGGCAGTGACTCAGCCTGTAATCCCAGCACTTTGGGAGGCCGAGGTGGGCGGATCAGAAGGTCAGAAGATCAAGACCATCCTGGCTAACACACTGAAACACCGTCTCCACTAAAAATAGAAAAAATTAGCCGGGTGAGGTGGCGGGCACCTGTAGTCCCAGCTACTCAGGAGGCTGAGACAGGAGAATGGCGTGAACCCGGGAGGCGGAGCTTGCAGTGAGCCGAGATCATGCCACTGCACTCCAGCCTGGGCGACAGTGCAAGACTCTGTCTCAGAAAAAAAAAATAAAGAGACTACCTGCTATTGGAGCATAATGGTTCATATTTCTAACTCTTAGGTGGAATGTATTGTTTTTGTGTCTGAAAGATTTGTAAATGCTATAATTTAACAGAACATTGCTTCATAAATTCCTTAGCAGTAACTCAGGAGGTGAACCTTGGGGCATTTTTTCCAGATAAATCTGTGCTCTGTGTGTGCAAAGCATTGCTGCTTAGGTAACCAGTGATAATGCATAGGGTTCAATCCACGCTTTAGATGCTTTTACTTTTCTTTTACTGGGCTTTTTCAAAACGACATATGTTTGTTATATTTCTGAAGTCAAAATAACAAATCTAAAACAAGTGATTTAAAAAAAAAAAAAAAATCTCTCAGCTGGGCGCAGTGGCTCACACCTGTAATCCCAGCCCTTTGGGAGGCTGAGGTGGATCACTTGAGGTCAGGAGTTCGAGACTGTCCTGGCCAGCCTGGTGAAACCCCATCTCTACTAAAAATACAAAAATTAGCTGGGTGTGTTGGTGGGTACCTGTAATCTCAGCTACTTGGGAGGCTGAGGCAGTAGAATTGCTTGAACCTGGGAGGCGGAGGTTGCAGTGAGCCAAGATCGTGCCACTGCCCTCCAGCCTAGGCGACAGAGCAAGACTCTGTCTCAAAAAAAAAACTCTCTGTTAATTATTTATTACTGTTGAAATGCTGCTTACCATGGCTGACAATTTTGAACAAAAGTAAAGAATATGTCTACGATGTCAAAGTTAGCAATTCTTTCCCTAATACTCCTTTTGTACTTTTGCTTATAAGACCTTAGTGCGTTTCATAGTCAGAGCTTCATAGACCCAACTGTGTATCTTTCCATGACCAGGCCGAGTGTCTACATTTTGAAAACATTTTAAAGTTAAAATCAAGAATACTGTCTTCAGTCTATCAAAAGGGCTAAAAACATTAACTTCGGCCGAGCATGGTGGCTCATGCTTGTAATCCCAGCACTTTAGGAGGCTGAGGTGGGAGGATCACTTAAGGTCAGGAGTTCAAGACCAGCCCGACCAACACAGTGAAGCCCCATCTCTACTAAAAATACAAAAACTAACCGAGCATGGTAATGCACGCCTATAATCCCAGCTACTCAGGAGGCTGAGACAGGAGAATCGCTTGAACTGGGGAGGCGGAGGTTGTAGTGAGCCAAGATTGTGCCACTGCACTCCAGCCTGGGCGGCAGAGCAAGACTGTCTCAAAAAATTAAAAATAAAAATAAATAATAAAATAAAAACATTATACCTTGGTAACTATGTGAATGTTTACTCTGGTGGATATAAGGGGAAAATAAAGAAAAAACACCGAAAGCACTGATTGTTTGTTCAACAGATTGTAAACCATGGCTGTGTGGATACAAGCTCAGCAGCTCCAAGGAGAAGCCCTTCATCAGATGCAAGCGTTGTACGGCCAGCATTTTCCCATTGAGGTGCGGCATTATTTATCCCAGTGGATTGAAAGCCAAGCCTGGTAGGTGAACAAGGATGTTTGCTTCATATTTTGTGAAACACAAGAATATTGGAGTTTGGTTAGAAAGATGTCATGATGGCAACTTTCAAAGTTGTATTTTTAAACATTTTTAAATGTGATCCATAAAAAGGTATTTTTTAAAAATTTTCTTTTTATACATGAAAAGTATTTAACCCCATCTTAGATTGAGGGGATGGAATAACTGTTGGGATTTTTAAAATAGGATTTGTTCCCTTTAATAGTAAATACTGTCTAAAAGCATTAGAATATTACTGCTAATAGGGCCGGGCGCGGTGGCTCAAGCCTGTAATCCCAGCACTTTGGGAGGCCGAGACGGGCAGATCACGAGATCAGGAGATCGAGACCATCCTGGCTAACACGGTGAAACCCAAACCCCGTCTCCACTAAAAAAAAATACAAAAAACTAGCCGGGTGAGGTGGCGGGCGCCTGTAGTCCCAGCTACTCAGGAGGCTGAGGCAGGAGAATGGCGGGAACCCGGGAGGCAGAGCTTGCAGTGAGCCGAGATCGCGCCACTGCACTCCAGCCTGGGCGACAGAGCGAGACTCCGTCTCAAAAAAAAAAAAAAAAGAATATTACTGCTACTAAAGAGCAGCCAACAAATATGTTTCGAGTGCCCATAGGATGCCTAGCAGTGTCTTAAGTAATAGAATTTGTATGAAAAAAATTAAAGCCCAACCTTGTGTTGTAATCTCAACACTTTGGGAGGCCAAGGCAGGTGTATTGCTTGAGCCTAGGAGTTCAAGGAAGGCATGAGCAACATATCAAAACCCTGTCTTTGTACAAAATACAAAAATTAGCCAGGTGTGGTGGTGCGCACCTGTAGTACCAGCTACTCGGGAGGCTGAGGTGGGAGGGTCGCTTGAGCCTGCGAGGCAGAGGTTGCCGTAACTTATGATCACACCAGTGCACTCCAGCCTAAGCAACAGAGCAAGACCCTGTCTCAAAACAAATAAACAAACAAACAAAATTAAAGCCCTCATCTCCAAATAATTCAGTGTTTCACTGGACGTGGTGGTGCACATCTGTAATCCCAGCTACCCAGGATGCTGAGATGGGAGGATTGCTTGACCCCAGCAGTTTGAGGCCAGCCTAGGCAACATAGCGAGATCCTATGTCAAAAAAAAAATAATAATTTGTGTTTAATGGGGCAGATAGGTGTGAATATGCATATAATTTAATTATAATTTATTTCTTATAGTTTATTTTATTAAATGTAAATTATTTTACATTTCTTAATAAATTTACATCTAACAAAAAACTAAAAATAATTTAACAGTGGAGACATTGGTGTTTTTAATTTATATGTATTTTATATATACACTTAAAGACTAAAAGAAAATTAGGTGGGTGTTGTGGCTCATGCCTGTAATCCCAGCACTTTGGGAGGCCGAGGCAGGCAGATCACTTGAGGCCAGGAGTTCTGAGACAAGCCTGGCCAACATGGCAAAATTCCGTCTCTACTGAAAATACAGAAAATTAGCTGGGCGTGGTGACGGGTGTCTGTAATCCCAGCTACTCCACACGGAGGCTAAAGCACGAGAATCGCTTGAACCCGGGAGGCAGAGGTTGCAGTGAGCCAAGATCACACCACTGTACTCCAGCCTGGGCAACAGAGTGAGATTGCCTTTTTAAAAAAAAACAAAAAACAAAAAACACTAAACGAAAATATACCCAAATGTTAACACTAATTACATTCTGGTGGTAGATTTGACAAGCATTTTAATTTTTCTTTATTTTCCAGATTACTGATTACATACTTGGGGGAGGGGGGAGTTGTTTTAAATTTCTTTTAGAATTAGTACAGTGCAGTCGACTAACAGCGCAGGTTTTTAATTAGTATCATTATTACACACCAGGCAGCAGGATGTACACTGCTCAGGGTCTGGGAGCTTGCTGCTTAGTTAAAGTCTGTCAGTTGATCTGGCATATTCATTTGATACTTCAAGCCTCACCATCTTAGCCAGGGGTCCTCTTTTACAGTCCCTCAGAGAAGCCAGCTTTGATGCTGCTATTTGCAGAGGGCCGTATACCTACCTATCAGTAATGTTGCCTTAGAATAATCGCAATGAGTGTTAGTAGCAAATTTCCGTTCAGAAACTAAAGATCACCAAAGAAAGGCAATTTTCTAGGCAATTAAAAAAATCTCAGCTTCATGTAATTAAGTGAGGGGAAAAAATGAGTTAAATATGAGAATGTCAGCTGTACCTTGTTTAGTGCTTTCCCCTCCCTTTTCATTTTCTCTCCTGTTTTCCTGATTTGGAGGATTTAGAAAAACATGAGTAGGAAGTTTCTGTTAATTTCAGATTTCACTTAGCAGAGTTCCCGTTTGGTGTTCTCACTGAATGAATTAAAAGACTTGTGTTGATATTAAGGAAAACTTGAAATTTTTTTAGCTTTGGTTTTCTTAAGAATATAAAGATTTTAATGAAGAATCTTCAATTCTTTTTTTCTTTTTTTTTTTTTTTGAGACGGAGTCTCCCTCTGTCACCAGGCTGCAGTGGCTTGATTTCGGCTCACTGCAACCTCCGCCTCCCGGGTTCAAGCCTTTCTCCTGCCTCAGCTTTCTAAGTAGCTGGGATTACGGGTGCCTGCCACCACACCGGGCTAATTTTTGTATTTTTAATAGAGACGGGGTTTCACCATATTGACCAGGCTGGTCTCTTAACTCCTGACCTTGTGATCTGCCCACTTCGGCCTCCCAAAGTGCTGGGATTACAAGTGTGAGCCCCTGGGCCCAGCCAAATCTTCAATTCTTTATGTTTAAGCCATCTAAGCAAGTCTTTTTTTAACAGAGAATTAAGGTTTCAAGTAAAGAACCAATACGTGACTTCTATGAGTTTTGCTTAAAGACTGGATCCTCTCGAGTGGGTTCCTGGCCGGGTGTGGTGACTCATGCCTATAATTCCAGCACTTTGGGAGGCTGAGGCGGGTGGATCACTTGAGATCAGGAGTTTGAGACCTAGTCAACATGGTAAAGTCCCATCTTTGTTAAAAATATAAAAATTAGCCGGGCATGGTGGTGCACGCCTGTAATTCCAGCTACTTGGGAGGCTGAGACAGGAGAATCACTTGAACCCAGGAGGCGGAGGTTGCACTGAACTGAGATCACGCTACTGCATCCCAGCAGGCGACAGAGTGAGACTTCATCTCAAAAAAAAGAGTGGGTTTCCAGACCAGGGGCATTGTTGCCAGTTGAAACAGAGGTACAGGCTGCCCTCATTCCTTCCAGCCTTTCATTTAATACATATTCTATTTAATACATAGGGCACACATATTTAAAATCTGACTTGCTTTAACTGCCTTCTCAAGGTGCAGATTAGGGTGTACTATTTGATGGGGTATGGTATCACTGCTTTGTTTTGTTTTGTTTTGTTTTGTTTTGTTTTGTTTTGTTTTTGTAGAGACAGAGTCTTGCTCTGTTGCGCAGGCTGGAGTGCAGTGGCACGATCTTGGCTCACTGCAACCTCCACCTCCCGGGTTCAAGCAGTTCTCCTGCCTCAGCCTCCCAAGTAGCTGGGACTACAGGCACACGCTGCTATGCCCAGCTAATTTCTTTTGTATTTTAGTAGAGACCGGGTTTCACCGTGTTGCTCAGGCTGGTCTCCAACTCCTGAGCTCAGGTAATCAGCCCATCTCAGCCTCCCAAAGTGCTAGGATTACAGGCGTGAGCCACCACACCGGGCCAGTATCACTGTTTTGATACACCTGTTGGTGCCTTTTTTTGAAATTAGTTGCTATCTTCAGGGACTTAGGGATGACAGAGCTTTTTAGCTACCACTATCTTGTTTGGCTGCAGACCCAGTCAGCAGTTATTGAATGTTATTTCAGTCTGACAGCTGTTTGGTTTCTTCAGTGACTAAGTAATTTGGTACTTCCCAGTGTCAATTGTTGCCCAAGTTGTAGAAAGAAAGAAAGAAAGAAAAAAGGAAAGAAAGAAAGGAGGGAGGGAGACCATCCGAATCCCTGTCATCAGTTTAATAGCTCGAAATCAATGCAGAGTTGTAGCGTGGTTTCCTTTGTTTACCGGAGAAGTTGGCATTGCCTTCAGGTCCTGGGTCTGCAACTAGTGATATGTCTGACTCGTATAAATGCTTGTAGGCACCGTCTGCCTGAATGTCTCATTTCCAGGGCTTCTTAGAAGTAGCAATAGCTTCTTTCATCTATCTCTACCTAAGAAACCTGCAGATACCAAACTCCTCGAGGCTGGAAAGGACATGTAGAAGAGTCTTGGCCTTGTGCCTCCTTTCCACCCGTGAGGGGTAACTATAAATAGGAAATTATCCAAGTCCTTATTTCCTTCAGAGCACACAGAACCCTTTCCTTTTCCTTGCATTTCTCGGGGCAAATAGCATAAGCACCAAGCACATCATTGAGAGAAAGGAGGAAGGGCAGCACATTGTTAAAAAAATTTTTTTTAAAAAAAGAATGAAAGCTACAGTATAATCCAACTATTTAGTAAATTACAAATAGATTAATGTAGGCATTGAGTCCATTTCTGTTGGGCTGTTTCTTAAAATTTGCAGTGAGCACTAAAAAAATCACTTTAGTTGAAGAAAAAGTGGGATGTGTTGAGGCTGCATTTATACAGGCTCATGTGCATGTATGTATACAGATTATGTAATTTTTTTCCCCTAGGGACTCAATAGATCTTGATAATCCACAGGAGAACATTAAGGCCACCCAGCTCCTGGAGGGCCTGGTGCAGGAGCTGCAGAAGAAGGCGGAGCACCAGGTCGGGGAAGATGGGTTTTTACTGAAGATCAAGCTGGGGCACTACGCCACGCAGCTCCAGGTGGGTGTGGGCTCTGGGGTCACACTTAATTATCTTCCCTCAGGGGTCTTCTTCCTGTAGAGACTTTCTTTCTCTCCTTCAGTCCAGCATTGTTGAGTTATATGTACATGCATAAGGTTCTTGTCGTTTGGTTTTGGTCTTTTTTTTTTTTTCCACTTTTTATTTGAGAATAATTTCAAACTTCCAGAAACTTACAAGAATCATACAAAGATTCCGCACATATGCCCATATTCACCTATTGTTGACTTTTATGTTGTCATATACTCCTCGCTGTCTCTACACACCCCTGTTTTTTCGTTCCTTGGGGGTTAGTTTGCTTCCTTTTTTTCCTTCCCCCGTTAGTTCCTTTTTTGCTTTTTTTTTTTTTTATTTTTATTTATTTATGTATTTATTTTTGAGACGGAGTCTTGCTCTGTCACCCAGGCTGGAGTGCAGTGGAGCGATCTCAGCTCACTGCAACCTCCGCCTCCTGGGTTCAAGCAATTCTCCTGCCTTAGCCTACCAAGTAGCTGGGATTACAGGCGCCCGCCACCATGCCTGGCAATTTTTTTTTTTTTTTTT